GGGAGACATTAGCATAATTATGCATGGGCCATTAAAAAGTATTTCCCCCATACCAATCAGAATAAGTGAAGAATAGGTCAGGGACAAATGTACCGATCAGAGGCCGGTACTCTAGATATCGTTACAATGGTCCCGTCATCTATACGAAATCCTAGCTATATAAAAGAGGAGGAACGTCACCATAACAAGTAGAGTTCTCTAGTCCCTTCTCACTTAACACTCATTCATACATTCTTCTCCTAAGACTAACGAAAACGTCAAAGTACCTTCCCGAGACCTCCTCCCGGGGCGCAAGTGATGTATTATCTGATTGTAGCTACAGGTTCCCAACGATGATCTCTTTTACAGTGTTGTGTCTCACCTATGGAACGAAGCTGTAACAAATGTGATGGGGAAAAACAAAGCTACAATGGTAACCACAAATACATAATTAATCTTAATGAAAGTCTTTTTGTTTATATATATATATATATATATATTATATATATATATATATATATATATATATATATATATATATATATATATATATATATATATATATGGTTAATCTTTACTTGGCTAAATTTTTCCGACTCGAATGAATCTTAAAGGAAGCAAATAAATAGGCTAATTTAAATGCAACCAAAACAACCTCGATGTAAATTATATGGCCAATATAATCACCCTAAAACACTTGGTAAGCAATGAAGAAGAGATACAAAAAATTTAGAGTGGAAAACTCCACAAAACAACTATTATGACTGCTTCAAATCCACTATCATGAATATTTCAACAATACAAATTCTTCTTTAAATGTACTGGATCATCATGTACTTGGAAGAAACCTACATGTATCAAGTATATAAAACCAAAACAATAAAGAGAAACGAAGAATATCACCAAACAAAGTCTACTGTCCAGCAAGCAAGCATAATCAACGATGTGTAAACTTTTGTAACCGTTCAACTCCATATGACTGTTAAAAGCATTAGGGGTGCTTTCTCATGTATCAAAAACAAGAGAAAAAAAACCCAATGAAAAGAGCTACTTAGAAAGTCGTACCCATGTGTTTGGGTGCATTAGACCATACGGTATACTAAGCATGAGACTGTCTGCGGTATACGTGGCCACGAACCACAATCGTGCACACCGTCCCCGTGTGTTGTCGTGAGTCTCGTTCGTTGCGTTTCGTGATGGCTACGACGAGAGTGGATGACCAATGAGAATCTGGCTTGCCAATTCGACCGTTCAACGGTCATATTTTTGAAGTTTTTAATTTTTATTTTACGTATTTTTGAAGTTTTTAATTTTTATTTTATTTTCAAACTCATTACCTATATAAACATAATACATAACCCTCACCTTTCATCAAAATTTACATTCTCTATCTCTAAAACAAAAAAACATGGATTTCTTTAAGAATTTTTACTCAAATCATGACAGAGAATTCATCTCGACCTTCTTCAATGTTATGCAACACATTCACGATAGAGAAATTTTGAATGTTGCACGTTCAAGAGCGGTCGTCAATCATGATCGTCAAACTGCACACGACTTATTAGTACGTGATTACTTTACCGATAATTATCTTTACAATGATAACTCGTTCGAACATCGTTTATGTTTTAATAAAATTATATTTTTACATATTAGTAAAGCTTTAGAGGCCCATTACGATTTTTTTAAACAAAAACCCGATGCTAGAGGAATAATGGATTTTAGTAGTATACAAAAATGTGCGGCTGCACTTATGTGTTTGGGATACGGTATATAGGGGTGTGCAAAAAAAACCGCAAAACCGAAAAACCGAGCCAAACCGGCCAACCCGAAACCGAATAAACCGAAACCGAAAAAAACCGAAACCGAAAAAACCGGATATCAACGGGTCGGTTTTTGGTTTTCATATTTAGGTACCCGCGGATACCCGAACCGAACCGTTTGATTATATATATATATATATATATATATATATATATATATATATATATATATATATATATATATATATATATATATATATATATAAGTAAAAAAAGTATTATTTCATTAGTATTATTTTGATTGATCTATGAGTTCAATAACCTAAACAAAAATCCATATCGACAACTCTAATTTTGTTATTCTATGTTCATTTGATTTTCTTGTTATTTTTAGTATTGTATTTATTATACAAATTATAATACATGCTATTTGAACTTCATTACGTTTTTTAAACTTCATTATGTGTTTTGTAACTCTTTGACTTACTAATTTTAAGAAAGAGATAACTAAAATGAAGTTTGTAGTTACAATTGAATTTAATTTTTTATATTTTAGCGGGTACCCGTGAACCGAACCGTGGTTACCCGCTTTCATACGGTTCGGTTCGGTTCGGTTTTTTTGTCAATACGGTTCGGTTTCGGTTAGTACGCATGATGTACCCGCCCCGTGGTCACGGTTCACAATTTTATTACTATCCGAACTGAACCGCCCCGTGAACACCCCTAACGGTATAGCCTTTATGCATTCGACGAGTATTTGAAAGTGTCTGAAAGGATCGGTGTTGAGTGTGTAGATTGGTTTTGTATATGTATGTATAAGGTTTTTCACAAAGAATGGTCGAATCATGTATTATAATGCATAATATGATTATTGAAGATGAAGGTTGAGCGATTTGTACGTATGATCCGGACGACGTTGTCATCCCGATTGAAGAGTTCGTACCTGGAACGACTGAATTTTTAACACGAGTTGTTGAAATTCATAACAGTGAAACGATATTCAAACTTCGAAAATATGTCGTAGAGCATTTGTACCAACTTAACATGAATGAAGATTAGATTTTTTTATGTTTTTTTTTTAATTTTAAATTATTTAAGTAATGTAGTTTTTAATATTAATGTATTGTTTCTTTATTATTGAACGAAAAACTAGTTAAAATAATCAATGTTTTTTTTAAAATTTTAACATTGTATTTTTCAATTAAAAAAATTAAAAAAAAAATGATGTTATGTGGAGTGGTAGTAAGTGGTGATGATAACTTAACGTTGCAGTGATTAGTGGTGAATGTTGGGTTAATTGGTTTGGCATAGGAAAGTTTTTTTATTAGTCTTTTAAGTTTTATTCCTGCATGTTTTAGAGTCCAATTAGGTTTCTAATTATTAGTATAAGGAGTCTCTTAAACTAGTATAAATAGGCACATATGTTAGACGTTTTTATTAGGAATTTTCCGTCGGTTATTAATAAAGCTTGAACATTAAGCAAAGTTGTAGATATCCTTTTTTGCTCTTCTCTTCCCTTGTTTTTACCTTGATTACATTTAGTTATTTTTACACTTGGTATCAAAGCGCGGTTTCGTTGAAGGGGTGTGATTCGAGGTTGATTAGAAGCAACCCCGGTGTCTTTTAATCAGGCTTGTGAGAGACTAACCGGAGGCGCGGAGTAAACGAACGGGAAGACGTCAAAGCATGTGGCTTTGATTCGGTTCGTTTTGCGGGTGACAGAAGACGGTAAAGGTGGTCGTGACCTTGTCTTGTTGTCCGGTGGAAGAGTGCTCTCGGAACAAGCTTGATTAAAGAAGTCGGGGTTAAGGAGAAAAGGATGGTGTTGGTTAAAGAAGGAGGTTCGTTGACATATCAAGTTCCGGTTTTGACTCCAACGAATTATCCGGTGTGGGCGGTTAAAGTCAAGTCAATTATGGATGCACATGGCATATGGGAGACGGTCGAACCGAAGACGTTAGATAAAGCACCAAATCAAAAGAAGTCAAAACAAGCTCTTGCTTTTTTGTTTCAAGCGATACCCGAAGACATGGTGTTGCAAATGGCGAGTTACACCGACCCAAAGCAAGTGTGGGATGGGCTAAAAACACGGTATTTGGGAGTGGATCGGGTAAAAACGGCTCGACTTGCAACCTTAAAAAGGGAGCTTGAAAGTTTACGCATGAAAGAGGATGAAACGATTGATGATTTTGTGATGAAATTATCCGGTTTAGCGTCAAAAGCAAGGAGTCTTGGATATGAGCTTGAAGAAGGTGATTTGGTAAAAAGGTTACTAGATTCAATGCCTAAGCCGTTTCTCCAAATCGTGGCTTCAATAGAGCAATGTTTCGAGTTGGATTCAATGTTATTCGATGAAGCGGTTGGTAGATTAAAAGCGTACGAGGAACGTATAAGAGGAACCGAGAAAGTGGAGAACACTCAGGGTGGGTTGTTGTTGGCTAGTGACGAAAAATCACATGTTTGTAAGCATTGTGGCAATGGACGTTCAAATCGGGATGACTTTGGACATGGCCGGGGAAGAGGTCGGGGGTTCGGGAGAAGTCGAGATGGTAATGAACGTGTCCGGGATAAAAGTCACGTTAGATGTTACAAATGTGGTGAGCTTGGTCACTATAAAAACGAGTGTCCTAAATGGGAAAAAGAAGAGGCGGGTCTAATCGAAGAGGAGACTGCATTGTTCTGAACGAGTGGCTCGTATGACCAAACCGATTAAGGGGGTGATTGTTGGGTTAATTGGTTTGGCATAGTAAAGTTTTTTTTATTAGTCTTTTAAGTTTTATTCCTGCATGTTTTAGAGTCCAATTAGGTTTCTAATTATTAGTATAAGGAGTCTCTTAAACTAGTATAAATAGGCACATATGTTAGGCGTTTTTATTAGGAATTTTCCGTCGGTTATTAATAAAGCTTGAACACTAAGCAAAGTTGTAGATATCCTTTTTTGCTCTTCTCTTCCCTTGTTTTTACCTTGATTACATTTAGTTATTTTTACAGTGAATAGGTTTAAGTGGTAGTGATTAGTGGTGAGGATAACCGAGTCATATATGCAAACAAATGACTATAATAAGTAAATGATGGAAGATATGTGTTTTCAAGAAAGGGTAGATGTTCTTTAGAACTCAAGTAAAGACATTGTCTTGTAAAAACCATGTTTTAGAAAATAAACTAAAACCGAACAAATTAATGTCTAAAAAGAAACGACTATATAGTTTCAAAGATGCGCATTTGCACTTATTTGTTATATATATCTTAATCAAACATTCAAACGCCTGACGGTGGAGGACCAGGGTATCCACTATTCCCGGACATGGAAGCACCATTGCTAGATGATCCGGGGTCACCCTGTAGATACTTTCCAGTAAAGTTAGGGAATCCGAACATCATCATCTGAGGTGGGAACTGTGGCAGCACTGTCATCGGCATGAACATCTGTGGCGGCACTTGGTGGTGCTGCTGGGGTAGCATTGCGTCAGCCGGCGGATCTTGAACTCTCCCGTACATGTCTGGCCAGACAAACAGGTTTGGGTTGGCGTTGGTCGGAGCCCATGAGTAGCTCTGGAATAAGAGATTCGGGTTGAGTCCTACTTCATCAGCTGGAGGTGGTGACGGAAACTGGTGGTTATGAATAGGATTGGTGGTGATCATGGTTGTAGGGTCCGTCGGCAACGGTGATTGCAACCGTGTAGTAGTGTTGATTAAAGCTTTAAGGGCATCATGGCAATGTGGATTCTGGGCAATAACCATCATTGCTGTATGTAGACCAATAACTGGTGGTTCTCTCTTCAAGAAAAACTCTTTCCCATATAAAGATTCTACACAATTCTCAAGTCGGAACTCTGATGGATCATGGACTGCCGCCGACTTCAGATGACCGTGACCACCCTCTGACGATGGTTGGAGCTGCTGCTGCATTTCATCAAGTGCATTCGAAGTTAGCAGTAATTTGGGTGGCTCTTGGATTTTAACCACCTTATCATTACGTGGTTGTGGTGGTAATGTGGTGGCACCACCCTGCATCATCCATGTCGAGTTACAGCTCGTCCTATCCGTCGACAGGTTGTTCCTTTCTCCATACAAATCCCAAATGACTACATCTTCTTCAAATGAATTTATGTGGTCATCAGCAACTGCAACATTGTCATCTGTAAATTTAATTAAGTGTCACAAATCTTGATCCTGAATATATATTATTTTCAAAACAACATTTATTTTACCATTATCAGTCTCATCATCGGCAATCTCTTTCCCTTTGTAATTTGTGATGCAACTCCCCATATTTATGGATGATGGGGACTTCGCTCGGCGTCGTTGAGGAAACAAGGATACTAGGGGCCGGAGCTGATCAGATCTATTTGATCCACCTCCATCATCAGGAGAAGGTTCTTTACTTTGATCCACACCTGATCGATCAAGTCAAATTACCAATAAGTATTGTATTCAACATTTTTGTACAATTTCGAAGAATCAAAGCGTACTTAGTAAAATTTATTTTTACCACAATCAACGCTTCCTTCGCATGTCAAGCTCGAAGTTTTCTTGATCATACTTTGCTTAAGTGCTGACTTGTTGGGGCGTCCTCGTCGCTTTTTTGGCTCTTTTCCATTGCTCTGCAGACATAAAAGAAACTTATCTCACTAATGATTTAAACCAGTATATATACATACAAGCTAGGCCACCACATGATGAAAATTTCATGTTGTCGCATGCATGTGTCTTTACGATCTTTATTTGTAAAGCTGTCACGCAAAACAGAAGATGAATGTAGAGCTTAAGTATTACCTTTGGTGGGAGGACGACGGATTGCTGATTGATGGTAGCTTGTCTATCGAGAGATGCGAAGATGTCAGATAATTTCCTCCTCTTGACGGGTGTCCTCTTCCGCTTCGTAAAGTCGCTTATCTTCTCCAACACAGATTGGGATGGGGTCTTGACCTTCTTGGTGTTTTTTTTCGAATCACCATTTTGCTTCTTCATTTTAGCAGTTTCGATAGGAGGTGCTAATGTGCTATACATATATAGTTTTTTCTTGTCATGTCTTTAAAATATTAAAAAGAAAAATTAAACTACCAATTTTTTGCATATTGATAACTAAATTTTTTGAAAGTTCAACAAAATGACTTTCTCAAGGTCCAATAATACATTTTCTTTTTTTCGGTATCTCATTTTCTTTTTATTGTGGTAATGATGCCCAAAGATAAAATCGTATATATATTGAAATACACAAAAACCATATGCACTGATTATGTAAATAACATACTCTATAAGATTATATATATATATATATATATATATATATATATATATATATATATATATATATATATATATATATATATATATATGGGAAAAATGAATATATCCTTAAGGGTATATAAGTTTAGGTACCCAAACTCATCATACTATGTTGTTTTGTATCATATGAGTACATTGTAATTGTCCAATGTTCTTATAATTCAACTTCTAACTTGATTTACTTCTAAGATTTTTATAAATTTCACATATATCGTCCTCTTACATAATTTTCATTTTCAACTCTAATATATATAACCTAATAGGTGTTCGGCAAAAAGAAGTGATATAAGAGGAAAACAATAGTGAAATTTCGAAAATCTTCAAAGTAAATCAAGTTATGGTTGAAGTTTAATAACATTATAATGAATATATCAAACAAAACAACTAATTATAGTGAGTTTTGGTACCTAAGCTTATATACCCTTAAGGGTATATTCACTTTTCCATATATATATATATATATATATATATATATATATATATATATATATATATATATTACAACCACACCTAAACTTAAGCACTAAACCTTCTAAAACCACGTCGTTTTATTAACTAAAGATTGCAATTATGGGATTCACAACTAATACTTGAAGGTGCAGATTCAAGATTGAAGCAATAATTTTGACATGGAAGCAAGAATATTGATTGTCTTCGGCCTTCGTGTTGGTGGAAAACAGTAATATTCACTGGGTTAAGTAATAAACGATAATAAATGACAAAAAAATAAATAAATAAATAAATAAAAAAAAATAAAAAAAACAGGTTTCATTAAATGATAATGAAGGAAAGGGATACGGGGAATGATATATTTATCAGCTGAAAACCGAAGCTGGTATATTTACAAAGGTAAAACGACACAATTGAAAGGTTTAGTACTTAAACTTAATTAGATGTGGCTATAATTATTTCCCCATTTCCATTTCACTTGGTAATATATCATTCCTGATAGCATTTCTTTCCTCCATTATCATTTAATCATCCATTTTTTTTCATTTCTCCTTTATCGTTTATTAATTAATCCCAGTGAACATTACAATTTTCCACAATCACGAAGATCGAAGACAATCAATATTCATGCTTCCCGATCAAAATTATTGCTTCAATCTTAAATCTGCAACTTCATGTAGTTGTCGTGAATCACATAATTGAAATATTAAGTTAATAAATTACGTAGTTTCATTAGGTTTAGTACCTAAGTTTAGATAAAGTTATAATGTATATTCATTTTGCATATATATATATATATATATATATATATATATATATATATATATATATATATATATATATATATATACTAGCAGTGTACCTGCGCAAAGCGGCGGGGTGTGTAAATTATTTCGGTGATATGTTCCTCTACAAAAATGTTATGTTACAAAAGAAAGTACATGTCGAAGACAAAATAATCAAACTATGGTGTTATTTGGGAAATGAAGTCATTTTTTGTTCTTGGATGGTGGGCTTTATAGCAGAGGATGGAGCAAAGAGGTATATACGATTAGAGGGATATTTAAATCAACATGCTAAATTTAAGGATATCTAAAAGGGTTCAAAATTTGAATGAATCCGATATTTGAGGGAACATATCAAATTGTTGAGAAATATAAGGAGATTTGATGATAAATATTTGAATTCAAAATATGGTTAAAATTTAATATTATTTTATTAATGATTACTTGTACTATCAGCTTCATCATTTGTACGTTTTAAAAAAATATTATTATTATATTCAATCTATTTTTAGAAATAATTAGATTTTTTTATAAGATAGTATATATATATATATATATATATATATATATATATATATATATATATATATATATATATATATATATATATATATATATATATATATATATATATATATATATATATATATATATATATAGTTAAGATACAAAGATTGGTGAAAACCCAAGAATTTTTTTCAAAAGTATATTCCTAATCTTTTTTTTAATTTTTTTTACCAATCATTTTCATTAAGAACTTAATTCAATGAAAAAGTTATAAAAAAAATCATTTTCAAAAATGCGTGTATTTGTAAATTTCTTAGTTACACATATGCACATCAATATTTGTATATATATGCATATTTATGAAATAAAATTTTCTTTTAAAAAAAAATCAGAAATGCTTAAAAACCAATGACTAATGTCCCATGAAATATTTTTTTTAAATATTTTCAAAACCAATACCACTATTTGACGTGCTAAATCTAAACTTAAAAAAAGATTAAACAATTTTTTATTGTTGAAATGTTCACATATGCACATCTCATTGTTTGTATATGTACATTTGAATACGCATTATATATATATATATATATATATATATATATATATATATATATATATATATATATATATATATATATATATATATATATATATATATATATATATTCAATTTTTTGTGTTTTTTAGCGTTTTCATGTTGAAATTATTTTAAACACTAGCTTTAAGTCTTATGGTTGTGTTGGTTTTGCAAGTTTAAAAAAAAAAATACAAAATACGCATATATACACATTTCAAAAAAAAAATAAATAAAATAAAATAAAAATTGTTTAATCTTTTTTAGCTTAGAAATGGCTTAGACACCGTATTTTAAAACTAATGGTTGTCTTCGTTTTGAAAAATATTGACCGGAAAAAAAAATTCTTAGGTTCAAACTTATCTTTGAGTTGTCAATATATATACTGTTTATTGTGTCCACATAGAATTGATTATGGATCAATCATTTTAATTATTTTAAAAATGTAATTAATGCATATTAAATGCTGAAATATTAATTAATACTTATTATATTTTTAATATGTAATATGCATTAATTACTTTTTTAAAATAACTATAATGATTGGTCCAGAATCAATCTTAGATGTACACAATAGATAATTACAACAAAATAATTTATGTCTCTCTCTATATCTCTCTCTCTCTCTCTCTCTCTCTCTCTCTCTATATATATATATATATATATATATATATATATATAATAACTTAATCAATGTTTTCCAAAAAAATGATATATAAGTTGCTATAAAATATCAAATTAATGCTACTAAATAAGATCTAATCCAAAATTAATAAATATATATAGACATAAATTAAAATATTTTTTATTAAAAAAGTATATAAATCGACCAACTCTTACATTTCAAGTTTTCAGTTCTCACCAAAAGTGTGGATAAAATAATTATATGATTTTCAATAGAAATTAAATTTCCTTCTATTTTTTTATTCTTACATATCTTTATACTCATAAAATTAAGACAAGTGTAAAAATCAATAGAAGATACCGAGAGAAAGAATTAATGGTGTTCACATATCTTTATTTTACATGAGTAGGAAGCCATGTTTTGAAAATCGGACCGTTAAATCGGCGAAAACCGGAAATTTTTTTAAAAAAAATTATTTTTTCATTTTTTTTAATTTTCATATAATTAAATATAATTATGATATAATCCGTTTTTTTTCAGTTTTTGAAATCGGTCTGACCGATTGGATTACTTGAACCATCAAACCAGTAAGACGACCGGTTTAGTTTCCAATCCGATTTTCAAAACCTTGGTGGAAAGATAAATAAAAACAAAAAAAGATATAATTTTTCTTTTCAATAGTCTATAATATTAGATCCATATAGATTTGTTGTTATATTTTCAATACAGTAAAAATCAATGATATTTTTGAACTTAGAAAATTTTGGAAACTTTTAAGAGTAATTGCAAGATCTATGGATATATTCTTTAACATAATTAGTTTAACGTACAAAAAGACTTAGCGGCACAGATTGTTGTCCATTAACAACTCGTTCGTTATACGATGATAATTAAATTAAAATATATATGAATATGATAGATGATAATTCTAAAATTACAATAAAATATAAATAATTAAATTAAAAAAAATAAAAATAAAAATAAAAAGTAGATGTAGATTAATATTGTTGGTCTTTTACTCTCTTAAGGATGATGAATATAAAGCAAAAAAAAACGGTGATGTATACAAAATTTATGTTGTAGATGTGTGTATGGTGAAACTTTATTTTCGATATCAGAATATCTTTTTGATCTACACCCAATTAGCTAAATTATCAAAAAGTTGAATAAAAAAATGTTCTACGCCGATTATGTAATTTGATCTACGCCAGTTAGGTATTTTATCAAAAAGTTATGTTAAAAAGCACCGATTTATGTGTAATCAAGTAAACTTTGTACTGCACATAATCAAATGGACAATCTTGCACAAAAAAATAAAAATAATAAATAAATAAATAAAAGTTGAAATAATCGTTTAAAAAAAAAACTAGAAATAAACGTTTGACAACAAATTTGAGAATTGGTTCCTAAATTAGACCTAAACTTGTAATAAGAATGGTAAACATGTTCTAGATTGAAGATTTTACCATAAACAAAAAAACAATGCCTAAATCAAAGATCGACTTGTAAATTTCTAGGTAAAAGGAAAATCAAACTTACCGAAGTGCTTTACTTTCCAATTTTGTTACGCAAAGAGATCTTGAATGATTTTAGATTGAAAATCTACACAACAACAAAATTATTTTTTCTACCGTAACCGATCGATCTTCTTTTTCATTGTTGAATTGGGAATGTCTGAGCGAAGACTCCAAGACACACTCAGATTTATACTCAGGCACCACATATGCACTATACTAGTATGATAGATGTGACTACTTTTGTTGTCTTGAAATTAAATTAT